ACGGTGTTCCGGCCCGGCGCCCGCCGCCCACCCGGCCCCGGCGCCGTGCGCGTCCTCACCGGCTCCCCCGCGCAGCTCTACTCCGTGCGGCACCGCGGGCACCACGCCCGCTGCTTCGTGGAGCTGGGGGTCTCCGAGACCGCCATCCAGACTCCCGAAGGCACTCTCATCACCCAGCTGAGCTCGGGGCGCTGCCACGCACCCGCCTGTGGCACGGCGGTGGCGGAGGACAAGCAGTGCCAGCACCTGAAGCTGGCACTGGGCTGCCAGGCCGAGGCCACGCCGCTGCCCCTCAAGAGCTCTGTGCTGGGCTCCCTGCAGGCACCCCCCGAGGCCAAGCAGAGCCTGTGGGAGCTGGCGACGGAGCCCACGGGGCCGCTGGTGCAGAGGGTCACCAGGAGCGTGCTGGTGGTCAAGTGCCAGGCCAGCCAGAGGCACGACCTGGGCTACCTGCACGCCTGCTTCGCTCAGCACCGCTTCTCCTGCGCCTGCCGGAGCCCCCGCGCTGGGCACGGCAAGGGGGAGGAGGAGGAGGAGGAGGAGGAGGAAGAGGTCCCACCAACACGCTGCATCCACTTCTTCGCCTGCATCTGCGCCTTCGCCAGCGATGAGAGCCTGGCCCAGGAGTTCGCCGAGTTCCTCGCTTCCGACGCCGGGGGTGGGAAGGGGGGGCACACGGGGGCTTTGGGGGGTGTTGAGGGGTTGGTGACACCCCAGCCTGGGCCCTGGCAGCTCCCAGCAGCCCTTACACCTGCTCCCGGTCAGCAGCTACCCTGGGGGTTGGGTTTGTGTCCTGCCCAGTCCCTCTGCACGGGGAGTGATTCCCACCATGATGCAGCCAGCTCCTGGTTCCCAGAGTGTGGGAGCAGAATGAGGAGCTCCCCGTGCTCCCATGAGAGCTAGGTGGGGGCAGATCCCACTGGGATTCACTGCCTTGGGTGCTCAGGGCGTGCTGGGGTTGTTTTCCAGGGCTGGAACCTGTGAACCCCCTCCCACAGCAGCCTCTGGGGTTAATTCCCTGTGAACCCCTCCCACAGCAGCAATATCTGGGGTTCACTGCCCCAAGGGGGTTCTGCACCCCAAAAGCTTCACCCTGATATCCCCATCCCATGCTGTCCTTGGGCATCCAAAGGTTGGAAACCCCCCCTGAGGGCACAATGGGAGCAGGATAAAATCCCCCCTCCCCTCAATGTCCCCCCAAAGGAGCATGTCCGGAGGAGGGGGGATTCCCCTGCAAACATTTGGGATGTGCTGGGAGGTATTGGAGGGGCACATGAGCCCCCTGTTCCCTGGTTGAGATGTTTTTAGGGACAGGATTTGTGTCCCCAGGTCTGAAGGGTGCGGTGATTCCACAGCTGGTTTGTGGCCCCAGATCCACAGCACGGCCTCGGGGGGTGGCTGCTGGCAAGGCCAGGAAGAGGAAAAAGGATGTGGGGCCAGGTGAGTGGCCCTGGGAAGGTCTGTGGGATGGGTGAGAGCTGAAATTCCCCTTGGGAGCACCTCCAAGGGACTGGGATCCAGCTTGAGGATTGGGTGGGATTTGAAATCCTCCAGCAATGCAGCTCCAAGGGACTAGGATCCAGCTGTGTCGGTGCCAGTGGAGCCTTGGGAACAACCCCAACCTGGCCCAAAGGGGTTTTTTCCCATGCTCATGGTGGTGTTATGGAGGAGAAGGGCTCCAAGGAAGGAGGTGACAGGCAGGGATCCCATGGGGTGACTCCTGCAGTGACAACCCCTCCCTCAGGGACACAGGTGACCAGCCCGCTCCTGGCTCCGGACCCGGCTCATCCCGGCCCCAGAAGGAGCAGCCTCAGGAAGCCACCAGTCGCCTCGTCCTCCCTGAAGAGACACAGTGAGTCTGGGGGCACCCAGGGCCCCCTTGGCAGTGCCCACTCTGGGTTTATGTAGATTTATATGGGTATTGGGAAGGGATTCTTCCCTGGGAGGGTGGTGAGGGGCTGGGATGGAATTCCCAGAGAAGCTGTGGCTGCCCCTGTATCCCTGCCAGTGTCCAAGGCCAGGCTGGACAGAGCTTGGAGCAACCTGGGATAGTGGAAGATGTCCCTGCCCATGGGATGGGCATGGAGGGCTTTAAGATCCCTTCCAACCCAAACCATTCCATGATTCTATGATTTGAGTTTTCATGGGGTGTTTGGAGAAGGGTCTGTCCTTTTGAGTTTCTTCAGAACCCTGGAGAAACCCTCTCTCCATGCTGGCAATGCCCTGTGCCAGGGCAGGAGCCTCTGCTTGGTGCTTTTCTCTCTCTCAGCTTTAGTTTTGGCCTGGAAAGTGGAACAAATCCCTCATTTTTCCCTTTTTCCCTGAGACAAAGCACATCCATCCCACCCCACAGCCAGGAAGGGCTGGTTTGGCTTCCACAGATGCCCCTGGGGAATGTGTGGGTGCTCTGGGGGATGACATTCCAACATCCCTTCCCTCCCTCCTGCAGGCTGTACCCAGGTGCTGGATGAGTCCCAGGTGTCCCTGTCCTTCCAGGACTGGCTGGCCAGTGTCACGGAGCGCATCCACCAAACCATGCACTACCAGTTTGAGGGTGAGTCTGGGGGGCACCCAGGGGGGCTTTGGGGCTCCAGCCCACCCAGGGACTGCCCCCAGGGCTTTGTCTGGTTTGCAGGGAATTTATTGTGCCCTGGGAAGTTTTACTGCCTTTGATTCAGGTCAGATCAAAGTGAGGGGGGGGATTCTGCCCCTCTGCCCTGCTCAGGTGAGACCCCACCTGCCTCCAGCTCTGAGACCCCAACATGGAGGAGGCCACAGAAATGCTCCAAGGGCATCTTCAGGTGGCATCTGGAGCACAGACAGCACAGGGAAGGGACATCGGGGGATTTCAGGGTGGGAGGGAGGAACAGGGTCAGAGTCCAGCTCCTCATGGACAGGAGGGTGCTGGGTTCCTCTCCCAGGGAGGGGACAAGGGGCACAGGGCACCCAATGAAATACCAGCCTCCAAATCCAAGATACTTCCCTGGAAACATGGTCAGACCTCAGCACTGCTGATCCAAGCAGCCCCAGGCACGCTCAGGGCCCGAGCAGGATGAGGGTCCTGGATCCCCCAGCCCCTGATCCCTGTGCTCCCCCTGTTCCCCCTGCAGGGCGTCCTGAGCCCCTGGTGTTCCACATCCCCCAGGCCTTCTTTGATGCCCTCCAGCAGCGCATCTCCAGTGGGAGCAGCAAGAAGAGGCTCCCCAACTCCACCACGGGTGAGGGATCCCAGGGGAGAAAAGGGAGAAAAAAGAGGTGGGGGGGAAAACAGGGGGGAAAAAAGAGGGTAAAAAAAAAGGGGGAGAAGGGAGAAAAGAGGGACAAAAAAAGGGGGGGAAAGTGGGGGGAAAAAAGTGTGTGGGTGAGGCAAAAGGTGAAGGGAAGAAAGAGAAAAAAGGGGAGGAAGCCCCGCAAGACCCCCCCAGCCCTGACAGCCCACCCTCCCCAGCCTTCGTGCGCAGGGACGCGCTGCCCCTGGGCACCTTCTCCAAGTACACCTGGCACATCACCAACGTCCTGCAGGTGAAGCAGATCTTCGACACGCCTGAGGTAAGGGGGGAGCAGCCCCTCCGGCCCCCCAGAGCCCCCCCACAACCCCTCCTGACCCCCCCCTCGCCACAGCTGCCATTGGAGATCACGAGGAGCTTCGTGCAGAACAGGGATGGCTCCTACGAGCCCTTCCGGACCCCCCGCGTGGAGGTGGAGCCCGTGGGAGACGGGTTTGGGACACCCGAGAAACAGCCCCCCCTGCGGCCCCTGGAGCTCCAGACCTTCCTCAAAGTTGGTGAGTGAGGGGGGGGGAGCAGAGTGGGACCCCAGAATCCACAGGGAGGGGCAGGATGGGACCCTGAAATCCACGGGGAGGGGGAGCAGAATCCTGGGAACCCTGGGGACTGTAAAGAGAGGGAGAAAAGGGGGAGCCCAGGGGAGGGGGGGGCTCGGAGGAGGGGGCAGGCCCAGAGGGTGAGGGGGCTTCAAGGGAGGGGGGAAAGGGGGACCCAGACGGTGAGGGGCAAACACACAGACACCCCTGGAGGCTCTGAAGAGAGGCAGAACAGGGGGTCCAGAGAATGGGGGCTACAAAAACACCCCTGGAGGCTTCAAGAGAGGTTAAAGGAAAGTCTGGAGGGTGGGGGGCTTCAGTGGAGGGGCAGGGGGGGCCTGCACCCACCCCGCCGTGCCCCCCCAGGACACACATCCCCCACGCAGAAGGAGCCCACCCCATTCACCATCGAGTGGATCCCCAACATCCTGCCCCGCTCCCGCCTGGGGGAGCTGCGCCTCAAGTTCCAGTACGGCCACCACGGGGGGCCCCGGCCCGCGGGACCCCCCCGGGACCCCCCTCCGACCGACCCCCCGCTGGAGCTGCCCCCCCTCAGCACCATCGCCTTCCCCTGAGCCCCCCAAACCGCCCCCCGGCACTGGCACCTGCACAGACACGATGGAGCCCCCCCAAAATAAACCCCCCTCAGCACATGCTCTGAGTCTCCACTGCAGGGGGGAAGGAGGGACATCTGGGGAGACCCCCAGGGTGGAGGGGGGAAGAGGGGGAGACCCCCAGGAGGGGAGTGGAAAGAGGGGGGAAACCTGGGGAGCCCCTCAGGATGGGTGGGGGTCACCCGGAAGGTGGGAAGGGGGGCTGTGACTGACAGCCGGGGGGGGGGGAGGGGGCCCAGGGTATGGGGGGCAGACCCCCTCATATGGGGGGGGGCTCTGAGGAGGGTCTTACCTGGGTAATCCCAGTGGCTGCTGCAGGGTTTGGGGGGGCACAGAGAGAGCCCCCGGCACCCCAGAGAGGAGGGGCAGTGCCCCAACACCCCATGGTGGGGGTAGCCCCCCACCCAGCAAGGCCAGGGACCCCAAAATCGAGTTTGAAAGAGAGACGGGGGCTGGGGGGGGGCAGCCAGAGCCCCCCAGAGCCCCCCGGCAGTACTGGGGGGGCAGCCAGAGCCCCCCAGAACCCCCCGGCAGTACTGGAGGGGCAGCCAGAGCCCCCCAGAACCCCCCGGCAGTACTGGGGGGGACCCAGTGCCGCCCTCCCGCCGCCAGGGGGCGCTGCCGCCCCGGTCCCGATCCAAGATGGCGGCGGCTGCGCGTGCCCTGAGGGTGAGGGGGCACCGGGGGAACCGGGAATGGGGGGGACACGGGGCCGGGGGGGGATGGTGGGGGTGGGGGGACACTGGGAACACTGGGAATGGAGAACACAGGGGATGGGGGTACTGCGGAAGGGGGTCACTGCGTATAGGGAACACTGGGGACACTGGATATAGGAAACACGGAGTGCGGGGGGACACTGGGTGCAGGGGACACCACGTGTGGGGGGCACTGGTCCCCTCCCCGGGGGGCTCCAGCAGCGCTGACCCCACTCTGGGGACAGCGGGGTCCGGGGGGACAGTGGCTGTTGGGGGCAGGGGACTGGGACAGGCCCCCAGCCCCGGCTGCCCCCCAGCCCTGTGACCCCCCCAGGTACTGCCCTGTGCCCTGCCTGTCCCCCGGCACCTCCACACCACCCCCGCCTGCCTCAAGGTGAGTCCTGGGGCCCCCGGGGTGTCCCCTCCCTGCGCCCCCCGGGCTGTGCCCGCCCCGGGCTGTGCCCCCCTGACCCCTGTCCCTGCAGACGCGGGCGGCGCGGGTCCGGGTGGGCAAAGGGGACAAGCCCGTGACCTACGAGCAGGCACATCCCCCCCACTACATCGCCCACCGCAAGGGCTGGCTCTCCCTGCACACCGGTGGGTACCGGGCACGGGGGGACGGCGGGGGGGCGTGGGGCACACAGAGGGGCAGCGGGTGGGGAGGATGAGGGCACCCGTGGGGAGGGATCACGGGGCGTTGTGGGGACAGCGCCGTGTGGATCACACAGGGGCAGGGACGTGGGGCACGAGGGCACTGTGGGACACATGGGTGTTGTGGGAGCAGGGATGTGTGGGGTGGGCACAGGGGGTCGGCAGTGCCAGCACAGGGTGGCAGCAGTGCCAGCCCCCGGTGCCAGCCGTGCCCCTGTGCCCAGGTAACCTGCACGGCGAGGCAGGCGCGGCAGAGCGGGCAGTGGAGGACTCGTTCCTGCGCCGCTTCATGTATGGCACCTTCCCGGGGCTCCTGGCGGACGAGGTGGTGCTGAAGCGCCGCGGGAACCTGCTGGTGATCTGTGCCCTGCTTAGCCGGGCACTGCCCCCCAGCAAGATCTACTTCCTGGTGGGCTACACCGAGACCCTCCTGAGCCACTTCTACAAGTGCCCCGTGCGCCTGGAGCTGCAGACGGTGCCCGCCCGCGTGGTCTACAAGTACCTGTAGTGCCCGGCAATAAACACCTAGCTCTGAGTGGTTTGTGGTGCAGGGACCTTGGGACCCCCAGTGCCACCCCTGGCACGGGCAGGGACAGTGCCACCAGCACAGGGGGCTCCCAGCCCCGGCCAGCCTGTCACTTGGTCTGTCCCCACAGTGCCCTCGTGCCCCAGAGAACCCTGTCCCTGTGTGTCCCATCTCAGTGGTGCCACGTGCCCCCCATGTCCCTGTCCCCATGATGTCCATGTCCCCATTGTGTCCCTCTGCCTCACACATTCCTGTGTCCCTCATGTCCCTGTCCCCACACTGCCCGTGTGCCTCACACGTCCCTGTCTCCACACTGTCCATGTCCCTGTCCCCACAGTGCCCTTGTGCCACACACATCCTGTCCCCGTGTCCCCATCCCATGTCCCCATCCCCATGTGACACTTCAGAGCCAAGACACACCCCCACCCGCCCCAGTTAAACCAGTCCAGTCTCTGAGAAAACCAGTTTAAATAGAACAGCAGCAGCAATGGGAGCAAGAGGGGAGTGAGAGGGGCCAGGAGGGCTCAGCTCTTCCCGGGCTTGTCCATGTCCTTGTCCTTGAAGTAGGTTTTGCCAGAGCCCAGCCCTGCACCCTGTGTGTCCCCCGGCGTGTCCCCTGCTGGCACCCGCGGGCTGGGCCCTGTGGGGACAACAGGGATGGTGCCAGGCTGTCCCTGTGCCCCGGGGGTGGCACACAGGGCCAGGGCACTGTCCCAGGGGTGGGGCCAGGGGATCCTTACCGATGTAGCTGAGGAGCACGGGCAGGAAGACCAGGCCATGTGCCAACCCCACGAGGGTGATGATGAAGTTGAGGCGGAAGAAGAAGATCTGGATGAGCTGGGCCTTGGCGAAGGCCAGGACCACCACCCCCGGCAGGCTGGTCATGGCTACCCCGGCCACCACCTGTGGCCACAGCAAGGACGCCATCAGGGACAGGGTGGCCAGGCCACCCTGAGCCCCCCAGCACAGCAGGGGAGGGGTGGGGGCCCAGGGGCTTGGGGGCACAGGGTGTCCCCCCCCCAGCACCACGTCCCTCTCCCCCCTCCCCATCCTGGGCCTCCCATGGTGTCACCTTTGGCCCCCCAGGAGGATTTGGGGTGCCATGGCATCCCCCCAATCCCAACAGGGTTAGGGGTCCCACAGTGTCACCCCCAGGCAGGACTGGGGGGCCCACAGTGTCACCTGTGCCCACCTTGCTGCCCATGGTGTTGGTGGCCTCGGCAGCTCGTTCCACCCTGGTGGGCTGGGCACTGCGGGCGAAGGCGCACGTGATGTGGGACACGAACTCCACCGAGATGCCCACGGCCTGTGGGGACACCGCATGTCACCCCCTCTGCTGCCACCCCCTGTGCCCCCAAAGCCACCCTTGCCTCCCAAATCCCTGTGCCTATTCTCCCCATGCCCCTTGTCCCCTGTGCCACTCCGTGCGTGCCAGGTCCCCAAACCACCCCACACTGCCAGTGTCCCCGTGCCCCCCTGTGTGTCCCATGTCCCCATTCCACCCATGTCCTTGTGCCACCTCACATTTCCCGTGTCCCTGTGCCACCCCTCATGCCCTATGTCCCTGTGTCCCCAGTGGGCCCCGTGCCCCCCGTGCCCCCACCGCGACGAGGTTGATGAGGGCGACGGCGTTGTAGGGCACGTCCCAGAGGGCCATGAACCCCACGGTGTCCAGCAGGATCATGGCGATGGTGACCAGGGTGGCACAGCTGGAGCGCAGGTCCATGCCCAGCAGCAGGAAGGACACGGCGAAGGTGGGCACCAGGCACATGGCCAGTGTCACCAGCCCCTCGACCACCACCGTCAGGTACTGCTCGTAGTACACGTACGTCACCCTGCAGGGGTGGCACCATGATGTGACACTGTGACAGGGCACCAGGCACCCAAAATGGGCACTGCGTACCCGAACACAGGCACCCGCACCCCGACGTGGGCACTGGGACCCCAACAGGGGTTCCCACAGCAACCCCAGCCCTGAACTGGGCACCCCTGTTAACCCCAGTGAGGCACTGAAGTGCCCACATTGTCCTTGACCTGGGCACCCCTGAACTGGTCATCCTCTAACTGGGCACCCACAGTGACCCCCAGCAAGGGCACCCTCAGCACCACTGGATGGGCACCCCTTAACTGAGCATCCCCAACTGGAGCACCCCTTGACTGGGAACCCCTTAACTGGACACACACTTGTGATCCCCAGTTCGAGTGCTGGGGCACCCACAGCACCCCACAATGGGCACCCTTTAACTGGGCACCCCTTAAGTTGGGACCCCCACTGACTCCTGACTGGGGCACCCACTTGTGACTCCCAAGAAGGGTGCTGGGGCACTCCCAGGACCTCGTGCTCTGCACCCTGGCCTGGGCACCCTTAACTGGGCGTTCCTGAACTGGGCACCCATTGCTGACCCCACACCAGCCAGCGGTGCCCCCCCCAGCACCTCGCCCCTCTCCCCCTTCCCCATCCTGCACCTCCCATGCCCCCTCCGGTCCCAGGTGGGCACTCACGTGTAGGGGAACACGCTGAAGTCGGGGTCTGTGCCGGGCACCCTGCGCAGGGTGCGGGTCAGGGTGTCCCCCAGGGCACGGGCTGCCCGCAGAGCCGCCGTGTACTCCTGCGAGGTGCGCAGCGGGCGCTGGTACGCCATGAACCGGGTGGCTGGCACAGAGCGGGGGGGGTCAGGGGCACCCCCGGGGGCCCACCGGGCACCCCCCGGCCCACGCCAGCCCTGCACTCACCCAGGATGGTGCCGTTCTCGTCCATGCTCACTGAAGTGTCATAGGCGCCCAGGCCCCTGCGGGGGGGACGGGGGTCAGGAGGCACCCAGGGGGGCACCCAGGGGTGGGTGGTGGGCGGTTACCCACTGATGGCCATGTCTGGGTAGGGGACCCCCAGTGCCACGTACCCCTTGGCACACTGCAGGGTGGGCCGGTCCTGCAGGAACCAGGGCAGGAAGCGCTGGAATTCCTCGGCCGTGGGGCGTCGGAGCGTGTTCAGGCACTGCCCCGCAAGACAGCTCAGGTTATCTGTGGGCACAGGGGGTCAGCAGTGGGGGGCACCCAGTGTGCTCCCAAGGGCCTCCCAATGGCCACCACAGTGGCCACTGCGTGTAGACCCAAGAACCACCATGGTGGGCACCCACTGGCCACAGTGGCACATCCACCCCGTGCCCCCCAGCCCCTACTCACTGCTGGTGGAGGGGCAGAACTCCCCCTTGTGCTCCCCAAACTGGTGGATGCGGCAGCAGCGGCTCGTGGGGTTCAGCCAGTCCAGGAAATCGTCCACCCAGGAGGTGGCCGGGATGGCCAGGTAGGACCTGGAGGGGGCACACAGGGCTGGCAGGAGCTGGTCACCCCTCCCCTGTGCCCCCCCGTGCCCCCTCTGTGTACCCACACATTGGGGAAGTCGGTGGCGTGTTGGATGGTCTGGGTGAGCGAATCGGAGTCGCAGCCGGCGCTGGAGCAGATGGCGTTGGTGCCGTTGGCAGAGGAGAAGTCGTACCCGCCCGTGGTGACGAAGTAGGTGGGCACCCCCACGGCCAGGTACTGGTTCAGTGCCGAGAAGTACTGCAGCATGTACGAGTCCTGGGGGCACCCCCGTCAGCTTGGAGGGCCCAGAGGGTCCCACCATCCCCATGTGTCACCCTGTAGGGCCTTGTCACCCACTGCAACACCCTCAGGGTCCTAAGGGGTCACGAGGGTCATCCCATCTCCATGTGTCACCATCTAGGGCCACGTCACCCGCCCAGCACATGCAGGGTCCTGTGGGGCCCAGAGGGTCACCCCATCTCCGTCTGTCACCACCTAGGGCCATGTCACCCCCCCATGTGTCACCCTATAGGGCCATGTCACCCCCACAATGTGTCCCCAAGCCCCCTCATAGGGGCCACCCCCCCGAGATGTCCCCCTATAGACCCCGCTGTCCCCTCGTGTCCCCCCTGTCCCTGTGCCCCCCCCACCCCCTGGCGGTCCCGCTCCCACCTCGGGCAGGGCGAGCTCCTGGTCCAGCCCCACGGGCACCTGGAACAGCAGGAACAGCCCGGCACAGGCCAGGAACAGAAACAGCAGCACCTGGGGGGCACCTGGTCAGGGACCTCCAGGACCCCTGACACCCCACAGCTCCCCCTGGTACCCCACAGCCCCCCAAATTCCCTCCCAAGACCCCTGGTCCCCTCCAGCCCCCACGTCCCATCCCACTCCCAAGCCCCCCATGTCCTCCCCACCTCCCAGGACCCCCCAGAATCCCCGTGCCCCCCATTCTCCCATTCTCCCCGATGCCTCCACAAACCCCCATTCCCCTGGTGCCCCAACGCCCCCCATGGCCCCCCCCACCATTCCTCCCATGCCCACCTTTCCCCTCATCCCTCCACTCCCCCCCAGCCCCCCACTTCCCCCAGCCCCCCTTCTCCCCCCGTGCCCGCCGTGCCCCCTCACCACGCAGGGCCGAACGCGGCGGTGCAGCAGGAAGGGGGTGTAGTAGCGCTCCAGGAGGGGCCGCAGCAGCCGAGCCCCCTCCCCGGCCGGGCCCCCTCTGCCCTCCCCGCAGCAGCAGCACAGGTCAAACCTCCCGGCCTGGGGGCACACGGGGGGTTGGCACGGGGCCCCCACGGCCCCCTGCCCACCCCTGGCACACACTGCCTACCCTGCGCCCACCCCCTCTGCCCTCCCCACGCCCCCAGAGCCCCCCGGGTGGTACCTCCTGCCGCCGGGCATCCAGTGCCACCAGTGCCACGAACCCCGACATCTGGAGCAGGAAGTCGAAGGCGATGGCGACGGCGGCCGTGAGGGCGAAGGTTTGCACGGCGGGCATGGACGAGAGGGCACCTGCGGGACCCCGGGCTCAGCGGGCACCCCGCACCCCGCAGCCCCCGCGCCAGCGAGCGCTGTGCCAGCCCCCTGCACTGCCCTGTCCCCCCTGTGCCCACCGTGCCCAGCTCCTGTGCCGTGGTCCCGTGCCCCCACGGTGCCCCCCCTGTACCCCGTGCACCCCACATGTCCCTCCATGCCCCCATGTC